AAAATTTTTTTAAAGATAGCTTACGGATAAAATGATTCATATCTATGAAAAAATCTAATTTATTAAAATCCGTTGTAGGTGCAAACTTTAAACCTTTTGCGAGGACCTCTTTCTTTTCCATAGGGAGGGTCTCTTTTGTCAAATTGAAGATTCCCTCTATGTTCTTCTCCTGTTCCTCTTCTCTTTGTATCATTGTGCTTCCCTTTCCTCCTCCTCTTCTTCTTTTTCTACAAATCTGCGCCTCTTCCCCGGAGATTCTTGTCGGAACGTTTTCTGTGACCACTGTAACCTGTTGATAATTGGGTCCTTCCGAAAAAACTGAGAGGATGTACTCTCCTTCTGTTGGGAAGTCCACTGATTTGTGCTCTGTTGGTTGGCAGAGGAAGCAGTTTATTTTGCTTGGAGGGGTCTATTTTTCATCTGATGGTTTATGGAAAAGAAAGAGGTCCTCGCAAAAGGTTTAAAGTTTGCACCTACAACGGATTTTAATAAATTAGATTTTTTCATAGATATGAATCATTTTATCCGTAAGCTATCTTTAAAAAAATTTTTTTCCGAAAAACCCCAACCCCTGGTCAATGTGCAAAATGATGATTATGTACATACAGGACTAAAGGAAAGATCCACTTTCTTTCCAAAACATATGATTTCAGACCAAATGAAGGCCTTTGAAATCATAGTTATGAAAGAAATGGATAAGTGTAAAAAAAATAATAAATATCAGCAAAATTTATCCCGTAGAGAACAGAAAACACTAAAAGAAATGGGGAAGGACAGCAATACGGTAATTAAACCTGCAGATAAAGGAGGGGGGATTGTCATCTTTGAGAGAGACCAATATATCAAGGAAGCAGAAAGAATCCTTTTTGACCCACAGACCTATCTACGATTACCATCCAACCCCATAGGAGACACACAGAAAAAATTTGAAGAATATATCCTGAAAGGGAAAGATTTAGGTATTATAAACGAAAAAGAAGCCAAATATTTGTCAGTAAACCATCCACGTATCCCAGTATTTTATCACCTACCTAAAGTACACAAGGACCAACATAACCCACCAGGTAGGCCAATAGTATCAGGGATTGATTCTGTATCCACGCGGATATCAGAATATATAGATATCCTGCTACAACCTTTGGTGGTACAAACCCCGTACTATTTAAAAGATACAATACACATGCTACAAATACTAGAAGAAACGGATTGGCAAGATGGGTATACTCTAGTCACATGTGACGTGAGTTCTTTGTATAGTATTATCCCCCATGAAAAGGGCTTGGAGGCAGTTAAATACTTTTTAGAAAAATCAAGTTTTAAAACGGAACAGATAGATTTTATCTTGGAGGGTATCCTTTTGATTTTAACCAACAACTTTTTTTGGTTTCAAGATCAATTCTTCTTACAGACCTGCGGGACAGCGATGGGAACCAAGTTTGCCCCCAGCTATGCGAACCTGTTTATGGCATACTGGGAAGAGCACTTTATTTCAGGTGGACACGACTGGATGGCAAACTTGGGGTCCTACCGCAGGTATATAGATGATATTTTTTTCATCTGGACAGGAAATAATCAAGAATTAACCAACTTTTTAGTATTTCTTAACGGTAATAACTGGGGCATCAAATTGACAAGTAACATCAGCCAAGTAGAGATCAACTTTTTAGACTTGAATATATATATTGAAGACTCAAAGATTCAAACAAAAAACTATTTTAAACCGGTGGACACTAACAGCTATATCGACAGAACTAGTTGCCACCATACTCCTTGGCTTACTAATGCACCAAGAGGCCAATTTAAAAGGTTAAAAAGGAAACTGTACAGACACACAAATATACGAGAAACAAGCAGAACTTTTGAAAAATCAATTCCTAGAAAAGGGCTATGAAGCAACTAGTTTAGAGGAAGATTTAGAAAACATTAAGCTTATAGATAGGAAAGAGCTTTTAAAGTATAAATTAAAGAAAATCCCTGCAAATAACACAGACATTCCTTTTATATGTCAATATAATAAAAATACCAAACAGATTCAGAGAACGATAAACAAACACTGGCACATTTTAAGAGACGATCCCATTTTGAGAACTATTCTACCTCCTAAACCAAAAATCATATATAGAGGTAATAGAAATCTAAAAATTTTTTTGGTTAAAAGTAGTTTGGATCACGCCAGACCAGATCATTTCTTAAATAAACTTGTAGGATTCTATGGTTGTGGAGAATGCCTACCGTGTAGAACTACTAAAAATAAAAAAAGACATCTGCTAGATCTAAAGGATTTTTTGGGACAGGATTATAAGATAAAAGACCACCTTACGTGCCATTCAAAAGGGATAATCTATGCCCTAAAATGCCCCTGTAATCTCCTCTATATAGGGAGAACAATACGACCATTACATATAAGAATTGCTGAACATTTGCGTAACATCAAGAAAGGTTTAGAAACACATTCCGTCTCCCAGCACTTTAAAACTATGCACAATCAAGATCCCACTGG